ATAGTAGAGTTGTTTTGAAAGGGAAGGATAGTCTATATAAAACTATATTTTATTTACTATTGATGTATTTAGGTTGTGATAAATTACATCCTAAGTTTAATCCATTTTTTTAATTAGCCCTTGATGTAATCCAATTCCATTGAACCTAACAACTAAATTACGTGTGAAATAATTTATCATTTTCACAGCAAGTGACTGCATGGATAATATGTAATATGACTTAGAATGATAATCAGTGTGTATCAAACCACAATTATTGAAAAAAAAATGATAATTTGCTTGTGACTATTAATTAATTACACCCACTCAAATGTTAATCACACATCCTTAACCACAAATTAACGTCAACTAATCCACGTACTTTTTAACTGCATGTGATTGATGTCTACAATAATGCTAAGGAGCCAATTGTTGGCTCTGTTATGGAGCCAACAGCCAATGAGACAGCTCCATGTGGGACTGTCCCACATGGTTCCAATGTGGGACAGCCCCACATGGAGTTGTCCCATTGGCTGTTGGCTCCGTAACGGAGCCAACAGTTGGTTCCTTAGCATTACTAAAAAAAAATCAATTAAAAGAGAGAATCCACGTACTTTTTAACTGCATGTGATTGATGTCTACAATAATGCCAATGAGACACCTCCATGTGGGACTGTCCCACATGGCTCCAATGTGAGACAGCCCCACATGGAGATGTCTCATTGGCTGTTGGCTCCGTAACGGAGCCAACAGTTAGTTCCTTAGCATTACTGGTGATGTCTAATAAAAAAATCAATTAAGAGAGAGAGAGAGAGAGAGAGAGAGAGAGAGAGAGAAATGCAAGAAAACATTCGAGGGTGCACATGCGATGTCCTAAGGACATAAGTAAAAGCATGATTCCTAATCTCTTTCAATGGGGTCCTTTCAAATCCTTTTATTTAACAAAGGCCCACCATCACCCACTTATCCTATCTCATACGCACACCCAATCACCCACACTAAACCCTATGGACGGGGTCGATCCTACCTGTGGACTCCGCCATCAATGGGTTTCAATCGTTCGATTATACACATTTCATGATGATGTGTATCGATCAAACCGTTAAAAAACAGAGCCCACGTGGGTAGGATGAAAATTTACCCGAGAATTCTACAATTACACAATAGTCGATACTACCCCGTGAGCTCTGCCATCAAGGGTTTTAACCATCTTATCGTACACATTATGTGATGATGTGTGTTGATCAAGCGGTTAAAAACAGTGCCCACATGGCCACATGGATACGATGACATATTACCATGAAAATCCACAATTACACCAAGAGGATCATGATTTTCACATGTTAATTTACTATTTGAACAAAAATCACAAGAGTAGATCCTACCCATGGACTACCATCAAGGGATTTTAACAACCCGATCATACACATTCTAGGTTGATACACGTCAATCAAACGGTTAGAAACAGTACCGACGTGGGTAGGATGAAATTTACCCAGAAAATCCACAATTACACAAAGAACATCACGATTTTCACAGGTTAATTTTACTATTTGAACGAAATTACAAGAGTTTATCCTACCCGTGTACATTGTCCACAAGGGGTTTTAACCATCTGATCATACATAATCCATGCTAACGTATGTCGATCAAACGGTTAAAACCACCGTTGCAGGCACTGCTCACGCGGGTAGGATGAAATATACCCAAAGAAAATTGACAATTACACAAAGAGCATCGTGCTTTTCACTGGTTACTAGTATTATTTGAATGAAAATCAGGACAACATGTCTTATATTTCAAAAACACGAACAAAAATTACCACAAAATGTCATTTTTGTAGAATCCAACATAAAATGATATGAAAGTTGTTGAGAAGTGAAGATCATAATGGCCTCCGTGCAATTGTAGGTTTTTAGTGTGGTTAGTTTTTTTTATTTGAAATGTATGAATATGATGCCAAAACTTAACCCACTCAACCAAGCAACTTTCTTGCAAAACTAAAGACCTTAAGTGTTATATAAAACAATAACAAGGACAAGCAAAAAAGGTTTCTCATCAAATCACATATGGATGAAATTCATCAAAAATAACTACTGTGCAGCACACACATAAACCGAGTGACGATCGGCAAAATAATCCAGCAAGATATCGCAAATTTCGATATCAAAGCCCCAAGCAAGGTTGATTGTGTTAGATGCTTCAACTAAATCATAATCAAGTGCAAGTTACTTGCATGTTACATATGACAAATGTGTACAGCCCAATTTTGAGGAACATGGGGGTGAATTGGCCTACTAGTTTTGTAAGATGTAACCAACACAAAAAAGCACTATAGGTAAAGCTTTGATTGCAAATGTAAATGCATGTTCCAGAGTAGGACCAGATAAAAAACCAATCAAATAAATTGACATGAAATTCCCACAAGTAACATAAATCGGGACCTTTGACGATAGTGGCCCGAGTTAGGGGAAGGCATCGAATGAAGAGGAGACAAATTCACAAGGCGAAGTTCAATGACAAAAATGAGACATCACATAAAATCCAAAAAAAAAATGCAACTGTAATAGATAGTACTATATACCAACCAATGTTCAGCGGTTGAAGCCAAGAATTGAAGATTTATCTTTGCAGATCGTGAGCAGTCGAGCCCTGCAATGTATGGCTTCAATGACGAAGCTACTTAAGAAGACACTTAAAAAAAATAAAAAAATAAATAAAAATATCTCCACAACACCATAACAATAAAAGCTTTCATAATCATATATGGATCAGAACCCAAAGTTTTCACCATCACAAACACAGTAGCTAACAAATTTCACAGGATACAATCGAACATCCTAATAAAAGGCTATATAATTTGCATTCATGTGTACTCCGAAGACATTTAATTTAACACAAAAACATTTACAATTATCCCTACATCATCAGATGCATCATGAGCTTATAATGATAATTGCAAACAAAGCCCAATTTGTTTTTTAAAAATTACGATCTTATGATCTTATGATTATGCTAAACCTTTGGAAGAGGTAGCTTCTTGTTCCAGGCGCCAATGTTCTCTCTGTGTACCAGTATCGGCACAAAAAAACAAAGAGACAGAGAGATAAAAGACATTAAAAATGGAAATAAAATTTGTACTACTGAAATTGATTTACAAATTAATACTACCACACAGATTTCTCCTAATGTTGCACAAGCAGGAATTGAACAATGCCACAGCAAAAAATATGATAATTCGATTGAAGTAAATCATGCTTTTATGCTGATATAGAAGAAGACGTGCAATAGAGCGAGTGCTCGTCACAAACTAATAAAACTCATATAACTCAATCAGATACGAAATAATCAAAATATTCTACCAAGTTGTATAAAGAAATGCCAGAAAAATAATTAACAAAATGTACTGTGGACTAACAGAGCAGAAGGTAGATTATAGCCAAAGATAGAAATCAGTGTAAATGAAAGGAGTTCAGAATTTATACAAATTTACTCCAAATGAAATGATTATCGCCCCTTATCAAGAATTTAACAGCAACAAAGAAAGTTGTACCGTGAGAAACATACTCTCATTTCCCAGTATGTGATTTTGGATCAATAACGGAATTTTAGATATTTTGGAGCGATTTTTGCTTTCATCAGTTTCTTCACAAATATTGCTATTAAAAGTGTGAAGTAGGCGAAAATGCAATCACATCCCATGGGATTTTTTAACCGAAAATCTATCGTTCGAATTTCCTTTACACGTCACACCCTACACAATGAAACCGAAAAACAATCTTCCTATATAATCCACAAACAGCAACGTCATCACATTATTGATTTACTACTACTCGACTAGTGAAAAAGTAACAAATGATAGTGCACGCAAATTTAGCATCAAGTCGAAAGAGGTACTTTAAAACACCATCTTACAACGGTTGCATAGCATGTAGCTCTTTCGACTTTTTGGCCTGTCTTTTGTCCGTTTAAAATCCCTATATTCATCATGCTCAAATATGTATCGACTTTTTAACGCATGTCTATTCTCGAGGCCTGGCAAGCCAAAGGGAACTAAGGGCTCGCAGTCTTGCAAAGTAGTCATGCTTCAAGAGGAGAGCACGAGCCGACTGCCGAGTGGTCAATATACGGTTCAATTGTTGTAGTGTTTGTTCCCGCAAGTTGTCAGCCTGGTATATCACGAATAAAATGGAAAAGTAATAACTTTTGCTAATGAAAAAAAAGGAAATAAAAAAACCTAATAAAATTACATGGGCATTTTTTGTTTTTAAATCACAGCAGTTATGTGGGTCTTTGTGTAATTACATCAAACCTCGAGGGTACGATTTGTAACTATCGGTACAACTAGATGAAGAAAAATTAGAATCACCTGTCTCAGAAAATTTTCAAGAGTCCCCAGCTTCCCCATGGCCATGGCCATCTGGCCCATATAATTAGCGACATTTCCAGACGGGCCCTCAGCGCCCGATGGAGCATTTGCTAAAGTCTCAGCTAACGACTGCTGTAATGCATCCATACCTTGGGAAAGTGCATCCTCCGCTTGATGAGATGACTCTCGCAGATTCTCGATCCCATTCAGCTGTTGTTCAGTGAGGGGCTCCAAATGATTGGCAAGAACCTGCATGAAAGATATATATGTCAGTGTTTCAATCACTCTCCGAACCAAAAAAAAA